CTTGGGGCAGTATTTCATTTCTTGGCAAGTACCTGCACCTTTTAAAAACAGTAATCAATTCTTACAAGGAATGCATTCTTTTAGTCATTTTAACTTGCCACTTAAAATTTGAATTCACCATCTCATTTAAAAACTGCAAACAAAGAGAGGCAGAGGCAGGCACGAAGCCCGCCAGAAAGGGGGTTGATGTGTCTCTTGCATATCATTTGCTGGGTAAATGAGGCTGTTACGCCTGCAAATAGGGAAATGCACAAGTGATTATAGTAGCGCTTTGGTTCATGAACTCATTTCTGTCTGCAGCTCTGGCTGTAGACTGAGTGGGACAAGAGCCGGGTGACATTTTCCCAGAAGGTCAACACTGTGCCTTACTACGGAATGGCATTCAGTTCCTGTCCAATTCCATTCATGGCCAGAATCGTGGAGGAATTAAATTCATAAACCAAGGCTCCGCTGTACTAACAAAAGCTAAACTGCAAAAGGCTATTATCCAGATAGGTTTGCCTTTTTAAAAGAGACTCCTATTAATCCTTAGAAACCCCATGTATTCTGAAAATTGAATACTGGTTTGTTGTCAAACCAGAGATTTGTCAGTAATAGGAAGCATCTTGGTCATAAATAGAGAAACAAAGTCTCAAGCTCATTTCAGGTAGATTACAGAAGGGAACCGAGACCAGCATTTCTTATAAAAATCATATTAGCATTAACATTTATCCAGCATGCTTTCTTCCCCCTCTAATCAAGTGCAGCAAAATTTCCTTTCAGGAAACATTTACTGAATTTAAGAATGACCTTACTGGATTTTAATTAAAAGCTATAATTACACATGGCTCATACTGAGTAGAAATTTCCTGCATGGATATGCTGACATATGGCATTTCATTTATGTCAAAAATCCTCATCTCTTCTCTATGGGAGGGGACGATCGTATCAATATGCAAAATCATGCATAAACTACTATTGTGTTATTCTTCCCATCAGCATTTTTACTTCTCACTATCACAGTGAGTCTGTTAAATATTTTGGATATTAAACCTCATCTTCTTGACGGTCGTATGACATGAGGATGATCCTCATGTTACGCATAAGGAAACCGAGAAGCAGAAGATATGCAATGAGCAGGTTCTTTGAATATCATGGTTTTGTGTCTCCACCCTGAGGGTCAGCAGTGGCGGACAATGGTGGCCGGAAGGTGACAGTACCGGGCAAGTTCTGTTCTCATGAGGGCAGGAAGTGCAGCTCCCTGCTAAGGCACAGATGGGAGCTATTTAGACACAAACACCTGGATGCAGGTGTGAGCAGGGCAGGTGTAGGAGGGGCAGGTGTGCAGAGGAGGGAGGGAGTGGGCAGAATCAGGGGCCACCATGCAGACTTCTGGACAGCCAGGGGGAGTTCTGCACCCTTAGTGCCCAGGTCTGAAGGCCTGCCCCGTGGCTCTTGCTCTCTTTATGACCTTGGGTAAAAGCTACTTGACTACTCCATGCCTCAGTTTCCCCATTTGTGAAATAGGGGGTTTTGATACGTGTGTAAAGGTCCAGAAAAAATGTAGCGAGTGTCAACAATGCTGGAGAAAGAGCAGCGGGTCTGTGAGGCACAGGCTGGTGGCACAGAGTGAAGGCAGCACAACCCCGTGGCCGCGACGGGAGGGCACACGCCCCATCATCTGGAGAGCAAACGCATGTGGCAGCCATGTGAGGCCCCTGCTGTGAACAGAATGGGGGCCTAGAAACACACAGACAGGCGCACATGTGTGCACACACAGATGCACCTGTCTGAGGAAGCGGAGCACGAGACGCTGCAATGACAGAGAGAGTAAGACCTGAAAGTGCAAGAAGCTTTCCAAGAGGGCTGAGAGCCTCGGTCGAGATCTGGAGAGGCTCCTTCGCGGGGCAGTGCATGTGCATGGTGGGGCAGTCACCTGGGGAAGCTAGTGTGAGTGGGAGGGAGCTCCAGGCCCCTCTGGAACTCCGAACTTTGGGAGCAGGACCTGGATATCGCTTGTAACAGCCTCCGCAGCTGGTGCTGCTGCAGGTGGAGAACCAGGACAGGGCGCTGTCTGATCTGCACAAAATCATGCCCATGCTGAGGTTGGTGCAGAGATGGTAGGGAGAGGTAGGTGGTGGGTCAGGGTGGGGGCCAGAAGTTCGGCACTGGGGATACTTGGGGAGTCAGCTAGACAAGAAGATGGGATGCTGTGAAGCAGTGGGAGGTCCGTGGGCAGCTGGGGGTAATGCCCAAACTTGGTCAGGCAGATAATGGAGGTGCAGAAGAGATGGGCATGTTCTCAGGTGAGACCCATGATGGAGAAGAAGGGCTGGGTACAGAATGCTGCATGTATTCAAGAAAGGTAGCTCCAGGGGTGGCGTGTAGCTAGGGGAAGGGGCTGCACTCCTGGTCACAGGTGATACCCACTGCAGCAGAGGCCACAGATAGTACCTGGACATGAACAGTCAGAGGATGCAACCAGATTTGGAGGCAGGACTTTGGCAGCAACTGCTGATCACAAGTGGAATTTCTGAGGCTGGCAGAACAGAAACAGGACAGCAGGGGTATAAGGAGAAATGAGAAGGAAGAGACACAGGCCGTGGATAAGACAGTCAAAGAGGCTGAAGATGGGATGGAAGAGAAAAGTCCAGGGCACTGCACTCGGAGCCAGGAGGCTAGTGTCTCGTGGACATAGACAAGGTGCTGAAGAGCAGGCAGACGGCTGTGCAGGAGGAAGGCGGCTGCCCACCGGTCGGGCTGGATGTCTCTGGGATGGTGCAGCCAAAGAGCTCAGCCATGCGAGCGGTAGCTGGCTGTCCATGAGCAAAGGGGAAGGGTGGTGGGCTGCGGGAACTCCTCTCAAAGGCCCTCCCTGGGACCTGGGCTGTGAGGCCTGCAGCACCGGCTGGAGGAGCCGGTGAGGCACGAATCTCCACTAGGAGACTGCGGAGGATGCTACGGCAGCTCAGCAATCTCACAAAGCCCTGTCTCAGTGCAATGTCTTAACAAAATCGAGTTTTATTCAGCCCTAAAACAGTAATCTGTGCCATTTGCAGGAAAATGTGCCGTAGGACCACAGTGTGAATGAAGTCAAATAAGTCAGACACAGAAAATTACATATCATGTGGCTTCTCCTCTGGGAGAACCACCAAAATATGAGTAAGCTAAAAAGTAGAAGACCTGGAGATGGGGAGGGGATCAGGAGAAAGGTAAGGGGGAAAGTGGGGGGTAATCAAAAGTGATCAAAATATGATTATATATACATATATGACTGTTCATATATGTATATATATATGCATTCCCCAAAACGAACATAAATATTATGCATTGTAAACATATACCAATAAAAAAGACCATAAAAATAAAGGTCAATGCAAAAAATTCAGGCTGCACTGAAAGAACAGAATCTTAAATGAAGACAGCGCTTCTGTCCTTACAGTGCTAGGTATTCCTGGGACTCTGCTGGAGACAGGCCTGGCAAGCGTGTGAGGCCACAAGGGTGGGGCCTGCATCAGGCGGAGTTGGTGCCCTTCTGAAAGAGCAAGACACACAGCCCTTCCTCGCTGGCTCTTGCTTTCTCTGGGTCTCTGCTCTTCCTCAGCTCTTTCCCACCCCTACTCTGCCATGTGAGGACAGGGTGAGAAAACAGGTGTGTGAAATAGAGGACGAGAGCCCTCAGCCAACCCTGGCTCTGCAGAGCAGTGGGGACCATAACTAATACCATCCACGCCTTTTTGACAGGTCAGCCATGACCTGGGCTAAGGCCGACGGGCTCCAACAGTGCTATGCTTAGTGTCTTAGAGCCCAAGGTGGGAAAAGAGCCCCTCTTCCCATTCTGCTTTCATGTTATTTTTAAGGCACTGAAAAAGTGTGAGTTTGCTACTAAAGTCAGGATAGTAAAATTATAATTAGTTCTTGTTTGATATAAATAAGAAATTTAAAATAGAAATGCTGTAACACTTCAGTACCTCTATTTTACTTTTTTTACTGTATTTTTCAGCACTTTAATGGTTGGAGAATAAATGCTAATCATTAGAAGTACACAATACCAAGTTTAGAGATGAACACACTATTTTTCTTCTGCCTTAGGCTCCAAACACACTTGGAGGCTTGCTGCTCAGAATAGAAGAGTAAAGGTACATTTTTAAAGTTTCTTTTATGGCTCGTCGCCTTTGCTTTGTTCCCTTTATCGCTCAAGTAATGCATACTCATCAAAAATGACACTCTGCAAGCCAAAGACCCAAGAGGAATGCAAATGGAACGCTGGTCACTCCTCTCCTCTGGGAAACATGTGGGGCCCACGGGGAGGCAGGCAGTCCACCTCCTGCTCTCTGCGCACCAACTGAAGGTGGGAAAACAGGCTCCCGGGGATGGCACCTGCTGTTTCTCCCTCCTCCCTTGGGAGAGGGGAACAGAGAAAGTGGGGCTCAGCCTACTCTCTCTCTGGAACCCACCTGCCTTTCGGGAGCTGGGTCCTGGAGAGTTCTGCTCTGTTCTGTACCGAGCGGGGCAATGGCGCAGCCACCTCAGGGACACTGGTGCTGCTGCTAACACAGGTCACCTTGGGGTGTCTGCTGGGGCGTGCCACACACAGATGCAGGACACGACAGAAGATCTCAAATTCCCTCATGGACAGAAGATGCCAGATTTGGCCCAAATCACCTTTTCAAGCAAGTTCCCATACGGTTAACTTCATTTTTTGGCTAGATTATTTTAAATCTAAAGATGAGAATCTGCCCTTGTTTATCTAGTCTTCTGTAAATAAAGAACTCCCACCTTCTAGTCTTTTACCTGCATATTACAGCCGCTGGCTGCCTTGGCTTCTCCTGCTCATCAGCAGGAGTTCCGCCAACAGCCCCCACATCCCCCAGGAAGACTCTGGGATGCTCATTTTTTCTTGCATAACCTTGGACATAGAGCTCTGGGCTGTACCCAGTAGTAGCTATATGGGCTCAGGGGCGACCTGTGGGTGGGTGGGGCAGAGGCTCTCATGTACCATCTGGCTGACACACACGTACCTGGGTGTGCTCCTGGCTGGGCACGGCGCTCAGACCTGTTGCTGCCATGTATGTGCTGCCGATGGTCTTGATCTTTTCAACACCACTGAATTTTGGTTTAGACAGCAGCTGCAAAGCAATGACACCCTTCAGTAACTTAGTGGGTCCAACCTGAAGCTAAGCCCTCCACAGCCACGCTCCAATTCTGGGAAATTACAGAAACTCATAGAAAGTATACTAACTTGTTTCCACCACTGTTAGCACCCTCTGACCTTGGGACTGTCGGAGAGATTTTATGAGTTTTGTGAAGAGTATGTCTTGGAAGGAAGTAGAATACATTGATTTACTTCCAATGAAGATGGGTTACCTTCCAAACTGCTAATGAAGGAATTAGGGATACATTTCAGTGCAAGTGATACTGGCTTCAAATAATTTTTTTTGTGTGTGTGTATGTGTGTGGCTGGGTAAGCCCACCCAGGAGGCAGGACTGGCACAGCGTTTGGTGCCAAGGATCAAACCGCAGTCTCTTCGTACTTGTCTACGCTTGCTTAAGCAGGTGCTTTAGACCACTGAACTGTCTCACCAGCCCTCAAATAAATTTCTTGATGGTGCTTGAAAAGTGTTCATACAAACACAAGAATCAATGAGTGAAGTCTTCTCTACAGAGTTGCAGTGACTTGTGACCAATTATCGATGCTGAGGATTGCTGGCTTTGCCTCTGAGTACTGGAGTGGGAAGAAAACAGATTTAGGAAAAGAGCCTTGCAGATTGCATGATGTCGCAAGCCTGTCATCCCAGCGGTCTGGGCAACTGAGGCGGGAGGATCTTATTTTTGAGGCAAGCCTGGGAAATTGGGCAAGATGATGTCTCAAAAAATTAAAACAAGAGCTGGGGAATGCAGCTTATTGTGAAGCCCCAGGGTTCAGTTCTCAGTACTGCAAAAGAGAAAAAGAAGGAAGGAAAGAGGGAAGGAAAGAAGAGAGAAAGAAGGAGAAAGAGAAAGAAAAGAAAAGAGAAGAAAGAAAAAGAAAGAAAGAAAGAAAGAAAGAAAGAAAGAAAGATAGATAGATAGATAGATAGATAGATAGATAGATAGATAGATAGATCCCTCCTCTCTAATGCCAACAAACACTTCTGGCTCAAGTAGCAGTTACCAGCTTCTCACTTGACTCCTCTTTGATCCACTACTTTAGGCTGTAGGGTGGAGGCAGAAAAGTTAAAATGTGGAATAGAAACTTTAGAGAAGAAGATAGACAGATGGAAGATCTGGAAAGTTCTGTATCACTCAGAAAGGCAGGGCTCAAATTAATCAACTAACCAAGGCCTGGAAGCACTTCCCTGCCTCTTCCTTAGTGATGTTATTTTCAGACAAGATCCTCCCAGGACAATGTGTCACAGAACTGAAGCTGGCTGTGTGTTACATATCCACGTGCCCACTCTCAGTCACCCATAGGCCCTATTTTATGGGTCTTACTTATTCTATGGAAGTGCAGCTGAAGCTGATGTGCCAATGTTTTTCACTCTGCACCTGGCATCACCGTGGAAATCACTGGTTTTCTTGGCATCCTTACGCATGTCTAAGGGCATCTCATAGTCAGGATGGGGCAGAAGAAAGCACACAGGACTCACACAACGTATGAGAACCTCATTGGTTTGAAAGCTTCATGTTACACAATCTCATCCCTGTATTTCAAACTTCCATGAACTCCAGTGAACACAAGGTCCCAGAGGTCATGTTTTCCGTGTTGTGTCAGTGACAACGCTCGTGTAGCAGCAGTATCTGCGCCGCCAGAGGAGGGTTTGTTCCCACCAGAAAACAGAACACATAATTTTCTATGTCAACCAAACCCTGAAGGTTGAAATAGGACACGTATTTCAAATTCAAAAATACATGCTTTGTCCTTTCTAAAAGTTGATGTGTTATCCACTGTATATATTTCTTTGTCAATGATAAAGTATGACATTTGTGTATTGCTTAAGCTGATGTTTCATAAAGATCTTTACTATGCAATGACATGCTAATAATCTACCACAGCAGACAGATTCATTATAATTTAATAAATAAAGGGATGGATACATATTTTCCTTTCTAGAACATCTGAATATAGTTTTTGGTAGCTGAAATGTGCTTAGTCACGGTGTCACTGTCTCCCCACAAATCAGCCCAAGACCTAAATACAGCACATGGCTTTAATTCAAACTACAAGAAGATAAGCCAAAACATTTATCATTATGCAGGTCTAATTTCAAATGCATCCGGCGGGTCTTCCCCTCCGCCTGAGGGTAACTATGGTACTTACATCATCAAAGTCCGCAATGATCTCATTCAGGAGCCGGAGGCATTCCAAGCCCTCCTTATTCACATCTGATTCTGTGTAGAATTCTTTGAAATCCGGGATGGAGGCAAACATGACACAGACGCAGTCATAAGACTGGTGGTATAAATCCTACGAAGGAGAAAAGGATCAGCTGAACACCAGGATGGCTTCCAAATAAAATTCTAAATGCAAGGGCTTGCTTATTCTTAGAAGTATAAGGAAATCACCCAAGTGCCCCATATGTGCACCCTGATTCTAGCTTCTGTCCCATCCCACACTCCACCACTGATGGCAGGAGACGCTTCTGGTAAGCAGACGCCACTGTCCAGTAACAGGCGGAGCCCTTACACTACGCCTCTGTTATCTCTATCTTAGATAACTACAAGCAATCACACATAGAATCAGGTTTAGGAAAAAGTGTCCTTCAAATGACTGAAGGGAAACAACGTTTCCGAAAGGACTGTATTGCACTAAAATAACTCGCTGTTGGTGCGCAGCTGGCACGCGCAGAACCCAGGTGCCACTGTGGACGCACTGCACCTTGGGTAATGCTCCCTCCACCAGGAATCCTGAGGAGAAGTCTCTGAAGCAAGACGGCCAACTCCAGACTGGAAGGACACATGTGAGTGGCTGGTGCCTCCTGTGCTCCTGACAGAGCGAGGGATCTCGTTCTTCACAAACGTTATCAGAGAGAGGCCTCTGTTCTCCGGGAACCACCGGCAGAGCATAAACATAGTACCTAACTCAGCTTTGGTGGGTTCTCATGTGGAAAATCCTTACCTCAGCGAGGCCTCATAATACACATCAGAGCCATGGCAAACTGTCTAAAGATCACAACAGTGTTAGACTCGTGTCATAGTGCAGTCTGCAGGGCTGATTGGTGTGGGGTATCCTCCACTACTGCCTCAGCATCTGCACACATGAAAGAGCAGTGCAGCCCAGGCTGCTCTGTGTCTCCTGGGCCCAGTGTGACTGGGCTGTCCCACTGTGCAAATCGTGCTTTCTCTGCAAAGCTGTTTTGCGAACACTGAGATCCTCAGTAGAAAACCTTTGGCGCATGGGATTGCTGAGGCTTGGTTTTGGCTACGTGACTACAACCAGGGAGCTGGGGCAACAGGGGAGAACACTTCTGTATCCTGTTTTAGTTAAATACATCGCTTTTGTAAAAGTACTATAAGCTCCAAAGACTCTACTCATGTTATGGAAAAGGGGTAAGTTTCGCCAGGACAGGGCACATTCTCTGTGCCTTGGCTTTGCCCCACTGACTGCTCACATGAGCCAGAGATCTTTTAGGGAGCGAAGATGATGACAGGAACAGCACGAGCAGCACCAGCTCTCTCCAAGTGCCCACCACACACATGACGGGTGCCTCTGCGACCACTCTACATGCGTTATCATGCGTCTGGTTGCAGCCCTGTGCGGCACGGCCTGCTAGTCCCCACCTATAAATAAGGAAACTATTTCCTAGCTACTACAAAGTGGGTAGTTTTCCTCACCATGGGCCTAAGAGCAGTGGAACCAAAGGACCACGGATTGAAATTGCCAAAACTGAGAGTTCAAATACGTCTTTTTTCCTTTGGGCTGTTTCTCGCAGGTATTTGGTTATAATGATGAAAAACTAACATTGTTTTACAAGGTAAGATTCACATGAATGCCCTGCTAACATCTTTGTGCGCACGCATGCACACATGCGTGCGCACACACACACACCACCACACCACACTCACGCCTATGCATGCACACATACCAATGAGTGCCAGCCCCACCAGGTGTCATGATGCCAGGATGGGGGCTCAGAGGTAAATGACACAAGCCCTGCTCTGGGTGTCTTGGTGGCGAGACTAAAATCGTAACTCAATGAGCAGCTCAAGTGCTGATTCCCCAGGTGTGGCGGTGTCTGGGCTCCTCAGCGGGTGTGGGATGCTCAGCACTACACTGCATCTTGGGCTCGCAAACTTCCCAGCTGCTGCAGGGCTCTCTCTTACTGTCGGGTTAGGTACAAGCACCTTTGAGCTTGGTCTTCTTCTTTCTTGGTTAACCTATGTGTGAACTGCTTAGCACTTGTGTTCCCCACAGTCAGCAAGTGTCTACTTTATTCCTGGCCATCAGATGACTGGAAAACACAGGTACACCTCTTGGAAGCCAAGTGCGAAGCACGTTCATCCTCCCCCAGAATGTCACTAGGGGTCAGGCCGTGGCCTCTGGAGGGCTGTCATGGCTATCCGAAAGCGAAGTACTGTTGGTGCGCCGTGTGTACTCCCCAGATGTCTGAAGTGGAAACTGTGGCTTGTTTGTGATTAAGCCCTGGCGCTCTCTGAAGGAAGCTGCCTGCCTCAGAATCACACACAGCCCCTACCACCTGGGGACTTGGTAACAAACTGGCACTCTCAGGAAGCAATGAGAGATTGCTTTCATGTGTATTCAAGAAAGCTTGCTTTGATGCAGTTCCCAGAGAAGTTCTTGTCCGGTATATCAATGAAGAGATTTATGATTTAGATCTGAAGTGCCCCTCAAATGTCTCATGCTCAGAGATGGGGCTTCTGAAAGGTGACCATCTCTTAGAGTGCCACTGTACTCATCAATGGGCCAATCAGTCACTGATGAATTCCTAGCTGCATGTGCTGTTCAGAAGGAGGCCCTGGTCAGAGGAGGCGGGTCACTGCGGGTGGGACCTGGAAGGGGTATTCTTGCCTGTGACTCCTCCTCTGTTGTAGGCAGCAGGGCACATAGACAGGAGAGCTCTTGTGTTGCTAATGAAACCAGAAGCTTCTTTAAAAGGCGCAGTGATTTCACTGCCTGCGATCAACAGGCAAGTGGGTGGCTTGCTGGGTGTGCAAAGCTTGAGGAGACGAACCAGGAGACTGAGCGGCCCTGGAAGACTCTCTGTTCTCTTCTCAGAAAATGTCTCCCCTCATTCATCACCTGCACTTCATGCTTAATGTCACACTTACATGTGCTGCAGGCAAATGGCAGAAGGCTCCAGGCCTTCTCATGCCAGGTGGCTTTGCCTTTAGTGTCACCTGGGCTGGGCTCCTTCGTTAACAAGCCTCCTCCACTGCCTCCCTGCTCACTTCCACATGGCAGGGAAGAGGTTCCTGGCATATGACTATTTCTCAGACTCCTCTGAGATCCTGGAGTCCTGAATACAGGGCTTTACACACAGTGGCAGATTCATGCACGTTCCTAAATTAAGTCCAACTGTAGATCTGTATGCTGTCCCTCCCAATTCAGCAATTTCAAAGAAACTGATGACATTTTATTTCATTTCAAAAGTCATTCTGCATTTCAACAATACCTTTGTCTTCCGAGCTCTAGCTAAATAACCATTCCTATAAATGTTTCTCGAATTTCCCATTGCCATTTATTTGAAGAGAGATTCAGATCTGTCTTCTTTGGTGTGGACTGCTCCTCATTTCTGCCCAACTCACAAATTATCTCAGCCTTGAAATTCTAAGCTTGTTAAGTCACCCTTGGAAGCAGAGAGCGATGACACCAGAGGTGTTTGGGTTGCATGGCTTATTGTGGCCTCTGGATTTGGGCTGCAGTGCATGCTGGCAAGGTGGCATCTTTCCATGCTGGTGAGACAGAAATGAACACTCTGGGGATGCCCGTGGGACTGTGATGCCTCCTAATGCATGCTTGGAACTTCCCACAACTGGGGAGTGTTATGCTTTGTGCCTAGATGTCTGCCCCAAAGCCTCATGCTGTCATGGGGCGGCTTCTAGAATTTGTGATTAACCAATGATCCAATGCTGGAATTAAGGGTGTGAGTGCTGCTGGGATTGTGAGTGTGAGTGCTCCACCCACCCAGGGCTGGATGGCTTGAATGCAATGGAAGGCAGGGCAAAAGGCTTGCTCTCAGCTGCTGCTCCTCCCTTTTGCTCTTGTTGCCTTTGCTGCTTTCTGCCGCCATGAACTGTCGCCCTCTGCCATGTGCCACTTTGCCTTGGAACCAGCTGAGTACGGGCTGAAACCTCCACAAACTATGAACTAAATAAACCTTTCCTTCCTTCATTTTGGGTGTTGGGTATTTTGTTCTAGCAACGAGAGAAAAGTAACCAAGACAGGGAAGAAATCTTCCTAATAGCTGATCAAGTCCATGCTCAGATTTTAGGAGAGGTTGGGATTCCCTCCCAACTACTGTCTCTAAGACCAATCAATATGCCTTGAAACGGAAACATCCCAGCCACCTGCAGAAGTGCAGTCCCCCCAGCCCGTCTGCCCAGCCGCACCCCGGCCTCCGCCCCTGCCAGCTCACCTCATTCTTCAAGCTCCTGGCCAAGAAGTGCTCAGCCACGTGGGCCGGAAGCACGTTCTCCAGCAGCACGCGGTTCAGGTTCTCCATGGTTTCTATCTCCTCCCGCTCTTTTTTGAACTTGTTCTTCCACAAGAAGTCTAACCTACAGTAATATTCATTCTGTTACAGGAGGACACAGAGGGGAAGAGACAATAGGCATCTTGTCCTGCCAGAGAGTGGAGGTTTCAAAGAGAAAACAAAACCAAACCATACAAAGATCCCCCACATAGGACTGTCACCCTCCCTACAAAACCCTCTGTTCCCCCAGCATGTCTTTCAATCAGTTTCTAACATGGACTTTCAAAGAGGAAGACAGCAATGAATTGGACCCCGGAGAAGGGTAACCAGCTGTGTGCTGGCTCACATAGCCACGTGATAATAAAGCTTCTCCTGTGACCATGTTAATAAATGATAGCTTAAAGTACTTTTTCGAGGGTGCATGGGATTGTATCGATGATGGATACATGGAAAATGAAAGTGGTGTAGTCTAAGGCACGGTTTGTTGATTACATTAAAAAGAAAAGTGTTCTCTTGCGGGAGTTCACATTTAGTACTTGCAAATCAGTTTTTCCCTCTTCAAATTATACAGTTCAGTATTCCATTGTAAATGATATTTGTTTTCATCTGGAGTGCATTGCATACAATATCATTATGGATAGACAAAGTGTTGATATAATTTAAGATAATGCCTGCTGGTTGGACATGGTGGGGCCCTTGTAATCCCTGGACTCCAGGGGGCTGAGGCCAGAGAATGGCAAGGGTGGGTCCAGCCTGGGCAACTTAGTGACTTAGTAAGATCCTGTCTCAAAATAACAATAACCATAATAATAATGATGATGATGATGATGATGGGCTGGGCATGTAACTCGGAGTAAAAGCCTTAAATTCAATCACTAATGCTGCCTCCCTCTAAAAGAAAAGCAAAAACTGCCTCCTAGTGCAAACATACATGTTTACGCTTTATCATACAATAGCACATAATATGTTTTCAAAGCAAGTTATTACTTGCTGTAGAAATGGAGAAGCTTATTTCCTGGCAAAGGGTCTTTCGGGTCTTGGAGATCATTTTACGGCTCTCATAATATAATTAACTCAGATGACTTTGTCTCAACTCCTCTGTCATAGGCGGGCTTATTAGAGAGGGTATATTTCGGCACAAGTACTAACTTATTGACAAATAAATGCAAAGGGGCAGGACACGCAGGGTGTGGCTTGGTGAATTTGAATAATTATAAAAGGACATAAGGAACAGCAGCACAGACTCAAATGCACGTGCAAATGGCCTCTCGTGGGCAGCTGGTAGCGTAAACAAATCGACTGTTTGAAACCTGAAACGACGATCTTTCATCAGTTTTGTTTATTCAAACGATGTATGGACGCTCAGAAACATGCCTCCTCCGCTGGTGCAGCATTTATATGTTACTTCCTGCAGAGACATTTTCAGGACTGCGGAAAAGATACTTTCAGTGTTTGCTTCTGTGGCGCCTTCACACTGATCCCAGCTTTACCTCCCCTGTCACAGTACAGATCCTGCTGTGCACTTGCCAGTAAAGTGCCTGCACCTAAGAACAGACTGTTTACCTTCGGGGGATAAAGAGGTTGTGCGGCTGGTTTTAAACTAAAATGGCAGCGGTGATTAATAATGGTGTCAAAAAGACATAGGCGAACACCCAAAGTCCGCCTTAAGCGCCAGCAGAAGGAAGGAGCACAAGTGACCCCCTCCAAGACCTAGCAACGCCACCGCATGGAAGTCCCAGAGCTCCCTACAAACCATGTGCAGAGGCTGCCAGGCTCTCTGAGCAGCTGCCATTGTGCCCTGCACCTTGTAAGCCCCAAAGGATGGCAATTGGGCTTTGGAAAGCAGCTGCAGTACACAGAGGTGACATGCTCCCTGGCTGTCTGGGTACCGCGCCCACTGCTCTACC